GAGATAATCTACCTCCGAAGGGGTTTTGCTCAACCCCCCGATCCACAGATGAGAGATGTGTATGTGCAGCCCTGTGCGGCATGTTCCTCTTGTTTTGTTTCATCAGCCTTAGCTTGTAAATGCGTCTGTGCTGATTTGGTCGAACCAAAAAGTATCACCTTCAGGACACTGCGGATGAGATGGGGGCGGACAACCTAGATGGGTAGAATGAATATATATATATAGGAACATAATAATCTGGCAATTGTCACCTGGCAATTCAAATTATACCGGACATCTGGTAATGGCCCCCAACATATGGGTGATACCGTCAATTAACAAAATCTATGATGAATAGTAACCGATACTTTACAGTAATTTGGTATTTTACGAACATTACCCACCAGCATGCTTCAAGCTTGATTTCGGGCCAGGAAGCCAGCAAAAAAACATAAAAAAACTGATTTGGGTGTAGGTCACATGCAATATGTATTTACACACGCACACATATATATCATATATACATGTGTATGTATATATATATATATATGTAGATATATTTGTATACATATAGTTGTATATTTCTGTCTATGTAATTCTATGTACCTCAACATGCCTCAATGACTAGTGAAACATTGAGGACAACACAGCTCCCTCAAAATCGCAATTTTGCTCTGCCCCAGGGTCATTGAAGAAGGTGTCTTACAAGGGAAACATTCTACTGTCGTCTCTTCAGCGGTTGTCAACTGAACTAAATTGGTGAACTAGATTAAAGTTGTTTGGTGGTCAATTTGGCATTTGTTTGATGCATCGGTTTTGTATCTTTAAACACTTCACTTGCCAATGAACATACTGTATAGTAATTAAATATATTGGCATCCATAGACAGTGAGACAAACGTAACAGAACCCAGCGGCGAGGCATGGCAAGGCACTGTACACTTCACAAATACCTTGTGCCTCTGGACAGTTGTCGGTGAAAATCCCGGCTCCTTCGAAGTTGCCCTCTGAATGCCTTGTGCGGATCCATCATCTTTGATGAAAACGGTCACGTGCAAGACTTTCGACTTGCACAATATGTGTATATTATATTATATATTATATATACGTATGCATGTGTGTGTGTGTTCGTGTTTTGATATTATATATATATATATTACATTGTATATGTAAAAAATATACATGTATATTGGTTGTTAGAAATGTGTTCAATGTTGAAAGGGCATGGATGGACATCGAGACATATCGTGCGTGTATACCTTGTGTCAGACACAAGCATAAGACATCATAAAATCATTAAAATATATCACAGATAATCAATTATATGATGCAATGTTGGAAAAACAAACCATTTATATCCATGTATCATCAAATATATAAATGCCTGAAGGGATCTGAAGGGGTTCACTATACATCACTATACTTGATGGACCCTTGGAATCTCCTGGACCCAATGAGGGAACTTCAGGGGACTGACGGGGTGGCACTTGGATGATCTCGGATGATTCTGAACTTCTTTGTGCTTTGAAACTATCTTGGGAACATATGATGGTTTCATATGGTTTCCTAAAATGGTGGTACCCAAAAAATGGATAAATAGGATGGTTTATAATGGAAACTCCTATGAACGTGGATGACTTGGGGGTACCACTAGTTTAGGACACCTCTATATCTTACTGTGGAATCATCCTCCCAGTTACAGGATTGACCAAAGAAATCGTGTAAAGAACATCTTGGAACCTGGAACCAACAAAGTTTCCGATCTCACTGATTTCTCACAATGCTTTTCGTTGAATTGTCCAACGTTTCATCATGCGGGTCTGCTCAAAATCCAGTCCAAGGTGCTGCAGGCAAAAGAAGATTGGCTCGATAAAAAAACTCACGATCAGGCTCAGCACAAGCAAGAGACTCGCCTCAGCGATGTTTGGGCACCAAGTCGTTTTGTGTCGAGGGCAAATACGAGAAATTGGTGATGATACTGATAATGGCCGTGCTTTTTTGCATTTTTGGAGGCTTCAAATCAAAGGGAAATTGATGATAATAGCTAGCCCATGGCGGCCTTTGGCACTGGCCGGGATAGTATTTAGTATTTGACTGAAAACATAGGTCCCCATGCCCGCTGTGGTTGAGGGCCAAAGTGGAACATGCAGGAACCTGTATTGCAGAACCAGAATGCTCCCCTGGAACTATGTCAATCACAACATGTGGCTCCAAGTTTTGCAGAGTCATGCTCACATTTTAGTCCTCAAGATTCTCCAAGCGAAAACCCTTGGGACCAAAAGAGAGACTATGTTTGGTTTCATGATCTGATGCCCACGTCCACCCGGATAATATAACAAACACTATAAGCTATGCTTGCTGGTTGGCGCTTCCAACCCTCCCGGCTAGGGATGACTAGTGGGTGCTTCGTCAATCTGCTACAATCTTGGATCCGCTGGCATTCAAAACTCTCTGATTCGCCGGAGATCGGAAATGACCACAAACTCCGAGCTGAAAACGACCGTCAACCCTGCAAACATACCCAGCACCTCCTGCACAATACAATGGGGGGTACCAGACAATCGTATCTTGATGGGACATGAGACATGGCTAGACATGGGACATGCAACATTGCCAGGTACTATAGGATATGCTAGTGCTAAAGTAGTACGTGCAACAAGGGCGCCGAATTGTAACCCAACGATCATGGCGCTACAGCTGTGCTTTTCGCCTTTCCCAGTGAACTATACCGCCTTTTTTTGCATTTTCAACCCATGCCCCTGCATCAAACACTTTAAAGAATCGCTTGGGTGTTAAACCAAAAGATAAAACAAAATCGAGAATAGTGCTCCCCAGAACAAATTGAACAAGAACAAATGTACCGTACCCTCAAACTCTGCACTCCCTTTGCTCCTTTCCTGTCGTTTTCGTAAACCCCATTGCATGCCGCTCCAACTACATGGGAAACATGTCTAATTCTTTTCTGGGCCCATGTTCGCCGTGTTCAACCCAGACTTTAAAGCTTTAGATTCCATATTAGATACTCATGACTTTTAAGTTGTCCCACCTCTTTGGATTCCCTTGAGCATTTTGAAAATAACCAACATGCCTATATACAATAAGTTGCCAATTTCTGGAATTATATATATATATCCCAACGACGACTGGAAAACAAACGCCAGTGACTCATAATCTTTATAGCAACCCCGGAGAAAAACAACTAGAAAAGAATCCAACTTTGGGTGTAGTTGGTAGTGCCATAACGTCCTACCCTGCCGCAATAAACAAACATGGCATGCCTTAAAATCCCCGATTTCGAGATGAATTTCCCAGATGTAAACCTCCCTATATACAAGGGATTTCTCAGCCAGCCACGTTTGATTACCGAAGGGTAACTCTAATTGTTGGTTATACATCCTATAACTATATGATTTCCCTATGAATCCCTATATCAAGCCCAGTAATAGCTGGCTGGCATTCCCTATTCTACCGGATGGTAATCCTACAGTTTCTGAGGGTTCCGATGGGTTCCCCAAATATCCCGTTCTGTTCTTGCGCCTAGCAGCTGGTTCCCGCCAATTGTCAAAGTAGCGCTTCGGGATGGGAATCCGATCGAAGACAACCACCAGGTCGTTGTCCCTTATGGCCTGGCCAATGCCAAGAAATCACGCAAAAAAACGATAACAGAGCAACATGTCGAGTATAATTATATAGCATTATATAGCAACATTGGGGATTCAATGGGGATTTACCAACAATATTTAGGGATTTGCCAACCATTTTAGGGCATTGCCAATACTATCCAATACTATTTCTTTCCTGGCCAACTTGAGATGATCTGGATGTCTAAAAATGGGCTTCACCGGGGTCACCCCATCAATGGCGATTTTCAGAGGGACGTTTTCCGATAAACGATAAAATGTTGGGGTCCCGGATGGGTCATTGGAGGCTTGATGGATGAAGCATGGCTTTGCCCATTTGGGAACTAGCACCTTTGTTACTTGCGGATGTTCATGGGTTGAGCACATGGAATTCCAAGGTTCTCTGGCTGAAGAAATGTCCGGTGTCCCAAAGACATGCCTTTTCCTTCCGTGACATGTCTGGGTAAATTAAAATAATTGAGACCTGAAATAATAAGGCTATTTTGGGATAGTTCCCCCTAACCATCGATCTCGGTGAGGCCATTATAATTTACCCAGAAACTATACGTGAATCGGCCTGATAGGCGTGCCGAACTCGGCCATAAATCAAGTTCCTGAGGAACAAAAAGCCACAGGAAGTTCCTAGCAGCCACCCTTTCGCTGCTCACAAGTCGGGGAGAGAGACCTGGTCAATGACAATCGTAACCGCAAAATAGGTATAAACTTAAAACGGTAGAAAAGGTATCAAATATGTAGGTTATATTTTCAGATAAACTTAATAGTCTAAGGACTTTCTATCTCCATTTGAGACAATATGTGACTTTTTTTGGGGGAAGCCAAAAGAATCAACGACATCCGGATCCCATCCAGGTGGTTTGAGTCGTCGCCCCGCCGTGCCAAGTGTCGTCATACCTAAGAAGTAGATCACCGCGCGGCAGCTGAACATGGCGATGCGAGAATAAAGATGCTCCTGTTCATGCCTATGGTTCAGCATCCCATGGCCTTAGTGGTGAAATTGAATTCTTCCCCTAAAACAACTGGTTTAGCTTGATGAGTGGGATGTTCGGATTGTTCGGATAGATCGTGTTTATCCATACCAAATATGCACAAAACCAAATATCCACAATCAACCCAGTAACTTAGCACGAAGAGGATCAAATTGAACAAAAGCCAAGTACTTCTAAAAACGAACTTCGATCGCACCACACCAGTCCAAATCACATCCTCAGTGATGGCTGAGGCATGGCTAGCAGGTTGAGGTTGGAACCACCTACTGAAGTCCACCATAAAAACCTTCCACCAAAAAAGAATACTAAGGATTCATGCTATCCACCATAAACTTCCACCATCATGATGATTCATGTATGTTTTTGATGCTTTGATATCTACGGCGCTTGCTCAACATGTGATCATTGGCCTATCCGATCGGCTGGTTCTGGCCGATCGAATCTGAAATTTCAGCTCAGTTGTGCAAGTCATGCCGGAAATGAACAAAGGTACCAGTATAAATAAACATTATGGTTTTATGCATTGGCCTAACAGTACTGTGAGATTTTGCACCATTCATTTAACTATTCAAATGCATTCATATGTCTCAATACGTGACGGAATGACAGCACAACAAGTCCACACGCTTAAAGGCAACAACTGGATATCCTTCCGGGCTCTGGAATATGTCCGCGAACATTCGACAAAATACAGAACAATGTAGAACAATGGTGGAAACTCGTTCATCAGTTCATCAGTTTCAAGCCATCTCAAATGTTGATTCTCAGCCATGGACCATGAAGGAAAATCAACTTTCAAAGTAACAACACAGGTCGCAGCCCCGCGTACCCGCAAATCTTGGTCGCTTGACCGCGCCCTTTTCGGCGATTCTTGGTGCTTGATCCACATGATTGGGTTTTTCCAATGTTTGGTGCTAGCCTGGCCCATCCTCTCCGACATGCAAGGCATGGCTCCACCAAACGCAGCAGGAAAGGATGCACCGTAATCTTTGGATCGTGAAGCTCCTGGTTGTGATTGTGATGGAAATTCGCCCCGGTAGAATTCCGGTTGTATTTCCAAATGGATTGCCAATGATTGCCATATATGCACGCAAAAAAACACACATACACTATAATATAGTAATATATTATATTAAAAAAACATTAAACAAAAACACATTAAATAACATGACTAAAAATGACTAAGTCTGTGCATTGTTAAAAAAGTGGAATCTTCCACCTCGAGATGAAAGTACCAAAGGTCTGGAATTCTGACCCATCCGGATGTTGTCTTTAGGTCCTCTGGAAACTCTGACCTGGAAATCGTTGAACATGAGCCTGCTCATCACCCACCTGATGGCATTACATATAATATACACATAAATAGATATTTAAATCAGATATTATATATTATAATATATATATGCGTGTGTTGTGATCATTCGGGATTGCATAGGAATCTAGGACCTTTCTGTTGTTGATAACTCATCTTCAGTTCTTTTGGTTTATCGTGCTTTATAACAAATCCACCAATGTGCCATGATCAGCCGTGACCACGGATTTCACCTGGATTGATCTCCAGTTCTTGCTTTGGATTGCTGAAGGTAACCTGCGTTTAGGGATGCTCCGCCGACAAAAATACATGGCTTGATTTAAGAGACAACTTACAGGGAATCTCTGTTCTTGTATTCCCATCACTTGAACTTACTATCCACTTCTGGAACAAGGCAAGATCAACATGCGGAATCAACAACAAACACATACTACAGGAAAATCTTGAAGTGATCAGTTGATGGAAACAATAAAAACCTGTGAAATCATATGAGCACTAAAATGCAACCTAGTCTTGAGTTTACCCAGCACATATTTTTATATATTATAAAATATTATATATACGATCAGAATATTCTTTAAAAAAGGAAAAGCACGGAACACAAGGATTCCCGTCGGCTCCACGAGGTTCTCCATCGCCTCGGGGAAGGTCCCTTTGTCGGTCACCTGAATGCCATGGAAAAGATGGAGGTTTCCTAAGCCATGGGGGTTACCCCAGCTGATTTATGGAAAATCCTGTGCTTGGATGATTTGGTAGCCCTAGTAACTCAGAAACATCCATACGGTGAGTTCATTGAGTTCATGAAGAACAGTAACTTTCCGGAAATGGTGTGATCTCTATCTGCTAAACATTGACTTTTCCATGACCTTCTTGTTGTTGAGGTATGTTGGGAAGAGGAATTTACCACATGAGATGGGGCTTCCAAGGTGGCAACTGGCAGGCACCGAGGAAGGCTCAAAATGAAGCACGCTGCCACCCACTTTCTACCGGAAATTGGAAGGGGATTATATGCACTCATATATCGAGGGTGTGTGTGACTTAGTTCAAATGACATGTTCGCTGCAAACCCCACGTTTGCCTGCCACGGATCCCGCATATCCTTTGACATGCGCAAATTCCTGCGTAGGGCTATATAACGTTTTTTTTTATTTTCCTAAAAGCCTAAAGGCCTAAACCATACATTAAAACCCTAAATCCTTAATACCTAAAGTCAAAATCGCTGCAAATAGCCAGTGTTTTCATTCATCCTCTGGTCGCAAGTATGTGATATTGTTTGGATGTTGTATTTGGGTGTGGGCGAACGTGGGGTTTGCAAACAATTGCAAAGGTCCTATGTCATTGGAGAGGTCCTATGTTATGTAATATGTTTTCCAGGCATTTTACAAATGACACGGGAGTTATGCATTTTTTGTTTTTTCACTTTGCAAATGACATGGGAGTTTGCGTTTTTTGGGTATGTCCGACTACTCCCATGTCATCTCTCTCTCTCTCTATGTATATATATATATAGTGGTTCACCTCCAACAATGGCATTTGACCTATTTGATCTACAGTACTCTTTTTGAACCAGTTGTAGTCTGGGGACCCAATCCTAGGTCCTAGTGGTCCTACTGTACTGGGTGCCAACCCTCATTGGGAATTTCTCAGCGGCTGTTGCGTATATTGACGTGTCTTGCAGACATATTTTTGTTGATCCAACTTTCTGGAATTTGATGGGGTTCCAACGAGTTTGCTCGAAGAGACTCTGGTCTTATGGTCGCTTTTCACACAGTTCTTGTCACACAACATCATTGGATCCATGGAATGGCTCCAAGACATCCGGTCAATCGGTTGTCCGTATGAGCCCGTAGCAGCACAAAATCTCTCGCCTGCATCATTTCTCGAGATTTCATGAGATTTCTATGGTCACGTGATTGTCATTGGATGTCGGTACTGTACGCCTCACATTTACATAATCCGAATGATGATCTTGGACGAAGCCACAGATCAAATAGAACCAATAAACATCAATACCCTCCTGGAATCAAACATGGCAATTCAAAATCCACCATTTAGTACATTTGGTTCATTGATTTTCCTAGCTATGTTTAATTGATGACGGCATGGAAGTTGCTGCAGCCAAGTGCACCAGGAGGTGTTTGATATAATAATTGGCACGTCTAAGACCGCCATGCACCAAATGAGAGCGCCACACCATGCCTCGAGGGACTAGGATGCGGCATGGGTGCCTTTGGGTTCATGAGATATCCCAGGAAATTCTTTAATAACAACATCAAACATCATCAAAGTGCTTCAGGCCGCCAGGCCCGAATCAGTTTTTTGTGAAACAAAGAGACACAAACGTGTCTTGTTGTTTCAGGCCGAAGTTGAACCATCATCCCCCAAAACCACAGCTACTTGTTGAGCAATCGGGTGCCCTGCAATCCAACGGTTTATCATCATTATCCCCATTAAACTGGCAATTGTGGGATGCGGCATCTCCCATTTCTGAACTGACTGATATGTATGTTTAATATATATATATAAATAAATAAATCTATATCTATCTAGAGAGAAAGGGATTCCCAAAGCACAAAGCCAAAAACAGCAGCGAAGTGAATCCTACAAAAATCCACGCCAGATTGCATGTAACATGTTTCTATACATCATTACAATAGGCGCGCTTTTACCTTAAATCCATCTTCCCAGTGCCGCATTCGCCAGATCCAGTTGCCATTGAGCAAAGTTGGCAGCAGAGTGGTGGCTCGGAAAGCCAAAATCTCCACGATGTCTGGGTGTCTGAGGAAGAGGCCTCAGTCGCTGATGGAAAGGCCTCAACTGGGGATACGGGGTTCGCACAGTGGTAAATCATCAGCAGGCCATCTTCCATAGCGCAAGTTGACGGTAACCAACCATACGGTAGCTATGCAATGGGATATACATAGAAAATATTGGATAATTGGATATTTAATTCTGATAGAAACGTCAAACATGCGTCTGTCATAATTGACAATTAATAATGGGTTTACAAAAAGGAAACTCTCTTTGAAATGTGATGTGATATACATATATATATAATTTAATATGCATCTAAAAAAATGAATATATATATATTATGTATTTTATACATAATGGAAAATGACTAACATTGTATGACGGGTTGAACCAAGAAAACAATGAATATGGTGCATGTCATGGCACATTTCATGTGATACACATAGCCACATGCAACCAAATAAAATGGGTATATACGAATTTCTGATAGAAAGAAATATAATAAACTTGAGATATAATAAGAATTAATTAAACAACAACAGTGGGTATATAATGGAATGCGCAGACACACACATATATATATACATATTGCGTATTATTGCGTTATATTATCTTAAATATGTATATATATATATATTTAATTATGTTATCTTAGATTGGTTAATATTGCGCTATATTATCTTAATTATGTTGTCTTAGATTGGTAGCAAAATATTTGGCTGATAGAGATAGAACGGTCATATATTTCATTTTAGTCAGTTAATTTTATGTTCGAAAGCTAGTGCTGCAAGTTACAAATGCTTTGTTTACATCTTTAAACTTAAGTATCCTATGTCTTTTGCCTAGCATGGATTCAGGGAAAAGACCTGGTGCTAAAGGAATCCCTGTGCCTTTTGAAATGGTAACATATTTATTCCCCCAGTTCCAATTTTTTTTGGTACCAGAGTTTCCTCCCATTTCTTATCGAAGGCCGGGGTACTGCAGCTTGCGCAAAAGGTAACAACTTCTAGCCATCTCGATACATGTCAGAACTGGAACAAACAAACACCTAAAACTATGAGGGAGACATCATGAGACATCTATCGCATCCTGAAAATATTGTTTTACATCTTTGTTTTGGGGCCCCCATGTAGCCTATAGATGCAATCATGAATCGCAACTTCTGCAGCTTGCAAGCTGACGGTAGAATGAGCTAGAACTTGAATGCCAAGAAATGTCTATTGCTGAAAAGTTCAAATTAACCACATAGCGTTGTGTTAAGTGTCTACTACCTGGACAATTGCCTGACAATGGAAAATCTAGTGCTCTATTGTCGATAGTCTATAAGGTCTATCTACCTGGATTATTTACAGTATCTATCTATCCATCCATCCATCCATCTAAAGATACATTTCTCTCTATCTCTCTCTCAAAGGCGCGGTCGTCAGAGTGTCTGTCTGTCTGTCTGTCCGTCCGTCCGTCTGTCTCTTTCTCTCTCTCTCTCTATGTCTATCTGTTTAGCTCTCTATCTGTCTCTATCTATCTCTCTATCTATCTATCTATCTATCTATCTATCTATAGCGGTCTTTTTATTGATCGATCCATCTATCTACCTGTGTTTAAATTCAATGTAGATAATCACTATTGAATAGATTTGAACATGTACGCACACACACATATATATATATATTATATAATATACAATTACATATGTAAATGTATAATTATCTCTCTACAGTATATACTTATACCGTGTAGGGAGAGAGACTAAAACGAATCATGCTTGCGACTATGTATCGCAGGAAAAAAATACGCATCAAACTGGCCAGCGATACCGCTCTTGTGACAACAGAGCCGACACTGGCTGAAACATTTTGCAGAAGCAATAGCTTTATGAAACTGACATGAATGACAGGACTTCCTGAAGTCTTCATTTCGGCAGGGCAGGTCTATTGTGTCCATCCTCAATTGATTCCTGGAAATTACTGTAAACTGTCATAATTCACCAACCTGAGATAGAGCAATCTTGGGATAGGGAAAACCAATGATCTTTCTCATGTCACAGCAAAGCCAAGACACTATCCAAACCATAGTAGTACTTCAGTCTATCTGCACGGATGGTCCTGACATGCGACCGCCTTTAAATCATTAATGGAAGACTGGTTTGTCAACGCGCAGTAGGTCCTTCGTGTCATTCTATCAGGAACACTAGTTTTTAATCTTTGATGCTTTGTTAAGGTTTCCAAGCACAAAGAACACGCAACGAAATAAAAGAACACATAATTCCGTCAAGACTTCAGTTTGCATCTGCCCCAAACACTATATTGATAGTCATTGATAGTATGTTATGGGGTTTCCGGGATCATCACCATCACCCTGGGTGGGATAAAGAAGAAAAAAGCAACAGCCCATACCGATACCCCTAATATTAAATGTATACCCCCTAGTCAAGCTGGTTCAGTATTCTCGCGATTCATTTTGGGGTCCCAGTGCAGGGATGTATTTCACGTGAGGGAAGGCAGTAATCATATTTGAACCAGCCAAAGATCTTCAAACTCGACATAATGACAGGTATGATAATTCCATCATCAAAAATCACCTCAACAGGTATAGGATATTAGATCCATAGCCGCTATATGCCACTATTGTATTTAGCCAGCCCCACGTCCCAAGCGTCAAGAGATCTTCAATCATCGACTCGGCAGCAGCCCACGTCCCACTATCAATGGCCCACAGCAGGGGCGAGATGGACCTTTGACCAATGGATTTCAGCCCCATGAAGTCCGAATGGACATAGTATGGATACGGTATGGTTAGAAACAAACAAAAGGCTGCATATACATACTTACATACATACATACATATATATATATATACAAATTTATCTATATCTGTAAACATATATATATATATATATATACATATAAAGAAAGAGATATACATATATCAAATAATGAATATATATATATATATACACCATATATGTATATATTCTATTTTAAGGCAAACCGTTCTGAAGTGGAGTTCTACGTCGAAAGCGCAGTAGAATCATTCATCTGATTGCGTGTGGAAACTTGATATTTATAGTGCTTAGCCTCAGCTTGGCACACCCGAAGCAAAGCCAGGACTTTCCGAATGTCAAGTCATTCTATACACCAAATATTGGGGTCATAATCAAAAAAAAACGAGGATGCACAACTCCAATCAGATCAGCATACCAACTGATCAAAGTTTTTGTTTTTAAAGCTCTATCATGATCCAAAAAAAGTGTTTTACATTTGGAAACACACATGTGTGATACAAACAAACATATACATATTTGGGAAGATTTGGCTGTTTCACCAAAGGTTTCCGAATGGAAAGAAACAACAGTGTGGTATGGTTGTGGCCTGGAGAACCTGGTGGAATGTACTAGATCAACAGTTCTGTCGGTCCCTCATTGGGCTCATTTATGCCCATTTATTCATAAATATATACCATGGTCTTTATAAAGTCATATATATATATAAAGATGTAAAAAGCATATATAATGCGATATATCCCAGTTGCATCCAAGTTCAGGATGACCAAGCCATGTCAAACCTCCATTTTTCATGCTGTTTAATCACTACAAGTACTTTTTCATGGTTGAACCTTGTTGACCCACCATGTTTTGTCCCTTTTGGGTGGGGGATGGGATCAAGATGACTCCAGCAGATCACATCCCAGCTGCTGCGTTCCCACCGAGACGGTCAAGACCCATTGATCGCGGGAACCACGAGGTGCGCATTCCAAGGCGGAGGCGAGGAGTTCCTGCTGGGCGATGCGGTTAGAAGAAAATAATCTACATTATAATTAAACATGGTTATAACATGTATTATAACATGCGATAATCCTTATAAGTATCTATATATATATATATAATTATATTTATATTATATATAATTACATATATATATATATAACTTACCTGCTGTTAAGAGGATCACATAGTCATTTGTAATTTCTCCAATTATCATATGTCGCTCTTCATGTCGAATCTAAACCAAGTGTACAAAACACCCAGTGACTTAGTCCACAGTTAGGAAACCTTTCTCATAATAACACAATCAAACTAGTTCGGTTCCAAAATGCATTGTTAATTCCCATTGTTTTGACCCAATTTGATAAAATGTGGTTCAATGACGGGATCATCCCATCCCCCAAGTTTGATTTTTGTTGTCCTAATCATGTAATAAATTTAATAAGATAGATGATGGCATAAACACAATGACTGGCCAAAATGGCCGGAGAATTGCTGAGCCAGAGCGGGTTAGCATAAATGATGGGTATGGTACATCTTTCCCAGCATGGGACCCACCTCTAACCAAAGTATGTCAACCATCAATGGGGATCACTGAAAACAATATCAACATCCAAAAACCAAATGTATTGTTATTGTTATTGGCTGGGACCCCTTTTTAAACAAATACAGTGGGACTTCAATTTGCTTAGTGTTATGGAAGACGCCAATGACAGGCACATCCAAATCTCACCAAAATACCTTGGCAAATTATTCGTACACTCAATGACCATTGACAGTTCTCCCTTATTATTAAGATGGTTTTCAGTTTATGTGTCAAGAAAGGTTGGTGTTTGACTTTGGTGGAAACAAATCTACCAAGCATTGTTTGCAAGAGTTTTGATGGTTGAAGAAAACATGATAATCATAACAAGATGAAAAGGTCTTGAACTATCAGACTCAGACTTTGCCATGTTCTTGGAGCTCATGAGTTGGATTCCTTCTAGCAAACCAAAACCTGGAACTGTTTCCACACAGTTTAAGATGTAGCCCGAGTAAATGATAGTAAAGAACTCAGGAAACATTCGGCAATAATAATACTAATAAAAAATATTGTTTTGGAGTTGCCTTTGATCTCATGCACTCAGAAACACTGGCGACTTATTTGTTTGACAGTCTTTTGCGGAAAAAAAGATGGCGCACAACTTCAGCTTTTAATTGTTTGAATAATTTTGAAATGACATATTTTCAAAAGTTAAAAAAATAAAAAAGGAAATAGACATTGAATGTGCTGTTAAGCAAATCACCTTGGCCAGGGGGGGGGAGATGCCCCCCCCCTCTGGCCAACATCGGGAGCGCTACCGATGTTGGCCAGAGGGGGGGGCACTTGCACCCCCCCTGGCCAAGGCGATTTGCTTAACAGCACGTGCTAAGAGTTTAATGTGGTTTTTCTTTTTTTTCATTATTTGAAAACAGTCGGGAGCGCTACCGAATGTTTTCGCCAAAAGCAAAATTTGTAATTCTGATCTTAAAACAGTCGGGAGCGCTACCGAATGTTTTCGCCAAAAGCAATTTTTAAAACGATGCATGGTCTTAAAACAGTCGGGAGCGCTACCGAATGTTTTCGCCAAAAGCAATTTTGAAATTATGTATGGTCTTAAAACAGTCGGGAGCGCTACCGATTGTTTTCGCCACAAGCAATTTTTGAAAATATGTATGGTCTTAAAACAGTCGGGAGCGCTACCGAATGTTTTCGCCAAAAGCAATTTTGAAATTATGTATGGTCTTAAAACAGTCGGGAGCGCTACCGATTGTCTTCGCCAAAAGCAATTTTTGAAAATATTTATGGTCTTAAAACAAAATTCAAAGCACATCAAATCAAATGATATCAACCACATAATCTACAATCAAACAAAGTTTTCCTAACATTTCCCCACTTGGAGGATCATCCCGGTCAGTAAATGGACACATTTGTTTACAAGCCCCTTATCAACTGGCCTATACCATGTTGAAACAGAAAATAATATCACAATCACTAACCACTTATTAGTCCATAAGTTGGGATATAAGCCCTAAAACTAATAACTATAGCTAATATATCGTGTAGCCGCGGTGTCACCTGATAATGTAGTACCTTATTCAACCGATTGGTTTATCGTTCTCCCTTTAAGAAAAACACTTTGGAGTATCCTCCATTTCCAGCCACATTCATATATCCTATGGCAGATTGTAAATCCCACTGTATCCCAATTAGATCCTTGTAATAATCAATACCCCTCTCTATTGTATTCTTATGTTGATGGGTATTAAACCTTATGTTTACTGAATAATGAACATGAACTATTGAATTAGGGCTAATTTGATTAACATCTAAGGTATCAATAAACTGATCGTAGCATATGTTTAGTATTGTTTAGTATTAATGTTAAACTAAATGAACATATAACAAAAAGTTTACAACTTAGTCAAACAGCTGTGTTTACTTAGTTCATGGGATCGGTTTGAGGGAATGTTTGCAGGACACCTCAACATTTGCCGGGGAAATGGTTTCCTGTTGAGATTTACCCTTTAACCAATCTATTGATTGTTC